GTTTTCTTATAGTATGAATAATTAAATCATACAATAACATTATAGTTGTATAGTGTAATAGAGTGTCTTACATGGAAGCGAATTTCATCATAAAAGCCCGATGCTGTAGATGGTAGTGTGTATTTCTTTGCTGTAATTCCAATTAATTCCCATTCACCCATCGTTGCCGTCATAGATTTAGAGTATTCAAACATCCTCTCTAGAGTCCCTGCCAGATAAAGCTGCAGAGCATTACCTGCATGGAAAACAGTCAGTTTGTCAGACAAGACTATTCATATCAATGTCAGTAAAAGAATTTTACTGTATTATAAACGAAACCATTCATTTCATAGGACAGACTGTGATAGATCCTCATGAACTTACTCTTGAGTGTGAATGAGTTGAAGGTTAAAGTGCAGTTCTGAATGTCAAATGGAAACAAGTAGATGTCAAGCCTGCAGGAGGTGACGGCTTTGATAGGCTGTGAATCACTCACAGTACCATCAGAATGCATGTAGGTATATGGGACGTTTGGAGCTGTGTTTTCATCCATGCTGCAGGAAGATGAAAGACATAACATTTAGAAACACAAGCGCCTGTATGCTGATAGAGCCTTCATTATTAAAATTAAGTTTACTCCGATAGCTACATAGCAGAAATAGAAAATGTATGAAGAAAGGGCTTACAGTTGATATGTAGAGTGCCGCCTAATATTAAGTATGACTGCTAAGTGTTAACTTGTGTGCTTCGTTCTGTCTGCTAAATATTGTAGGAGGCAGATCAAAAAGATTATACCTTTATCTAGTGGATAGCAGTCTTACCAAACCGCTCTATTATCCTATCCACACTATTGTTATGTTATTCCACTGACATCAGTTGGACCCCTATGTGAATCGCTACCTTATAGTAGTGGAGGGGTTTGTGTGTCTGATCCCAGGGGTTATGCTGTCAGGGAGCTTTGTCCCCTCGCATGGCAAATTGGTCCTGGGTGAGGGATCACACAAAGAGAAGAGCCACGACCAAAGGAACCATTCACTCTGCTTGGGATGGAGTTACTATCCTAGCTCAGGACCACTTTGCTCGGACTAGAGCCGCTACTTCTCCATGTTGATGTCAAGGTGCTGGGTCTGGTGACCCAGTGTTTGTGTTTTTGGTTAAATATTCTTTGATTATTGTTGTTCTTGGTTTTGGTTATCTTAATTTCTTAAGCTCTCAGGAATCTTAGTGCTCCCTCCCTCAGCGTTCATCTCAGCCTGTGTTTAGTTTTTGTTTCCGTGTCCCACGTTTCATGTCTACTCTCCCCTGTCTCTGTGTTCCCTGTGTCTCCCCAGTCAGCCGTGTCTCCATGTCGCCGTTTGTACTCTTGTCTCTGTGCTTCACGTTCACTCTGTTTTCTCTGTCAGCCTTGCCTCCTTGTCAAGTCTGCGTCTCTGCACCTGTCTTTTGTTTCCTGTTTTACTTTGATAGTCTTGTGTCCTGCATTCACTGTTTTGAGTTCTGCTTCCCCTTCGTCTCGTTATGTCAGATTAGTCCCAGCTGTTTCCCTCCTGTTTTCCATTCCCTCGTTACTCCCTGGTGTATTTAAGTTTTCCTCTGTCCATTGTCATGTTGTTAACCATGATGTACCTCTGTGCTGCGTGTGTTTCTTCCGTACTCCCAC